TTATTCAGTCCTCTATTTTTGAATATAGCAATTTCCTCTCAAAATTAGATTATTAATAATGCTAAAATGACCACCTTTGTATAGAAATCTTTGTCTTTATCTCTGTCCATTACTAAGGACATATATGCCTAGAGCTTAGATGACTTATGAGACCGAAAAACGGAACTATTAAAAGGCTCTTTTTAAAGTTATAATTTTAACCTGGTTATTCAAGTAATGCATTTTCATTTTAAAATATGTAGAAAATTTTTCCAGAAAAGAGAAGAAAACTATCCTGCATCTCTCTAACTTGAATAACTAATTTATGATTTTTGCACCTTTCCCACTAGATTTATACATTTATAGATCTGTTTTCACAGAGTGGATAATAAAATATACACACACAGAAACTTTCTTATCCTGTCCTTGTCAATTAACACTATATAACATTACAGATATTGTGTATATGTAGTAGGCATGTTTTGTATCATTAAATAAAATATTTCACTGTTAAAACACGATTTTAATAGTGGACTTATATTCCCTTATATTAATTAAATTTTTAGATTATTTATCATCTTGTATTATTGTAGACGGATATTTGTCACACTGCTATTTCCTTAAGATAGATTTTTGGAAATGGTATTATTAGAGCAAAAAGGTAAAGACATGAAGGTTGATACATATTGCCAAATTGATCTCTAGAAATGTTCTACCAATTTACATTTGTGCTAAAGTCTATGAATATCAACATTTCCCCACACCTGGCGGGTACTCATGACATCACTCTCATTCACCTTTGGTAGCCCTAAAGGCAAAAGATGACAGTCCCTTGTTTTCATTTGCATTTCTTTATTAGTGAATTAAACATTTTACATTGATTTATCAGCACTTTATATTTCCTCTTCTTTAAATTTTCTATTCATGTCCTTTGCCAATTTTGCTATTGAGATATCACTGCTTTTCTTACTGTTGGATAAAAGATTTTTATATATTAGAGAGATTAAAACTTCTTTCAGTCACAGTATATCAACTACTACTATAAAATTTGTCTTTTAATTCTGGATACTAGATTTTATCAGATATATGATCTGCAAATATTTCCTCCTACTTTGTGGGTCATCTTTTCACTTTTTTACAATGTCCTTTGAAGCATTAATTTTTAATTTTGAAAAAGTTCAATTATCTACCTTTGGGGGGGGTGTTGCTTGCCCTTTTGCTGTCAGATCTAAGAAACCATTGCCTAATCCAAGGTTATAAAGATTTAGCCCTGTTTTTTCTTCTGAGAGTTCTGTAGTTTTCTCTCATACATTTAGGTCTTTGATCTCCTTTTAGTTCATTTTGTGCATGGCTTGAGGGAGGTGTTCAACTTTCTTCTTTTGCATGTGGTATCCAGTTGTCCCTTCACCCTTTGTTGAAAGACTATTCTTACCCATTAAACGGGCTTAGCACTCTTGGCAAGGTCAAAACCCATTGCCTGTGGGTGTGTGGGTTTATTTCTGGACTTGCAAGTCATTCCTTTGGCCTATGTGTCTTAGCTGAGCATTTGGTAGATACAGGAGTGAAATGAGTGCATCTTGTTCTCTGACAAGTACCTGGAGTATAACTGAACGCTGGCGCACGCGTCTTACGGTCCCCTGGCACGGGTAGGAGACTGGCACCCTCCGAGGCATGAGGATCATAAGAGGGAAATGCATCTGCAAAGAGGGCGGGAATCTGGTCAGTTCCAAGAGTCTCCTTAGAGACAAATTGACAGATGAGGCCCAAATTCCAATCCACATAGTGTGGCATAAAGAATTTGAAGCCTAGTACATTTTAGGTAGATATAACCCCATATCCATTTTAGCGCCTTCTAATTAATCTGGTAAATATTTCCTGAGCCCCTACTCCATACCATGCACAATAAAGCAGCTTTGATTTGAGGACTTTTATTTCTGGCATCCTTCTGACATAAACTATTTGCAAAGTTATCAAAAACAGTAGGTTAATTATCATTTTTAAATTATCATTTTTTTTAAAAATATATCTTTATTGATTTCAGAGAGAGGAAAGGAGAGGGGGAGAGAGAGATAGAAACATCAATGATGAGAGAGTCATTGATCAAGCCCGCAACCCGGGCATGTGCCCTGACCAGGAATCGAACCCTGATGGCCTGGATCCTAGGCCGACGCTCAGCTGCTGAGCCACGCCCGGCCGGGCTAAAATTATCATTTTTATAGGTCAAAAACAGTTGAATGGTGGCTCTTGTTTGTGAACAGTGGATTTGTAGCCCTTCTTTGTCAATAATTAGCTAGTAGGCCATGCAGGCCACTCCCAGTTAAAGGTAATAAAACTTTATCATATGTGCATAACAGGATGTTTGTCTTTCTGTTTCACTTTGTTGAGGGTGGGGCAGGAATCTGCAGGATTGCATGAAACCTATTCAGAATGATTTCAGATTTTTAACAGGCAATGTGTAAAGAAATGGGTAAAGACAATGATTTCTGGGCCTGGAGGCTTTAGGGATCAAAGCTGTGTTGCAATATATATGGTCTATCAGAACAACCAGAGATGGCTCCCTCTCTTGCTCTTTACTGGTCCCAGAGATCCTGGAGAGCGTGGCATCGTTTGGATCTGGTAATGTTTAACCTTGATGACAGCTGGAACAAGAATCATAACCTGAACCCTGTCAATCTGGATGGTGTTACATGGATAAATATAAGTATAAACAATTCGTTAGTATTCCTTAGCTAATGAAAATTCGTTCATGAGCCAAAAATTCATTAGCTTAAGATTTGGGCACTGTATTGTACTTTAGATATAATTAAAAATGTTAAAGGTATTTTTAAAAAATTAAGTTCTCCAGACACCACCATTTATTCTGAGAAGTCAGGTAAGGCCCTTTCTCATCCCCAGCAGACAACTAAAGGGGTATTCTCTGAAGAGGGTGTTAAAAAAACAAAATTTAACTGAGTACATTGGATACCTAATTGACCATGAATTGGACAGCATCCCATCTAGCAACTAGAAGGGGCTCCAAGGAGTTGTATAAAATGGAAGGTTTTTATGGGAAGAAAGGTGGGACAAGGGAGCTCTTAACAAAAGAAAATAAAGGGTTATTTGGGGCCTGGATATCTTTTGTGGGGGAGGGTTAGAGAACAGGGAGGGTTTTTGTTATGCAGATTGCTTCTTCTTTCTATTTGGGGGGAAGAAAATGCAGACTATACATTTTATTTACATTTGGCTTTTAAAATAATATTTTACAATTTAAAAGTAGGAGAGAAGCTAAATGTACTCTGGTCTCCTGGATGGAAGCCTGGAACAGAAAATGCCATTAGGGAAAATTAATGAAATCTGAATAAAGTGTGGAGTTTAGTGAATCACTGTGTGCCAATGTGGGTTCATTGGTTGTGACAATATACCACAGTGATGATCAGGCCTCATGACTGTAGCTAAACATCGGCCTCTATCAGAGGTCAGTCTAATCACAGGTCCTGTTATTTTCAGTGACAGGAGAAAAGATGACAGTTGAAACTGTAAGTCAAAATATGTAAAATCACAAAACATTGAATGGATTAGACTGGAATGTTTAGATAAGCTGTAGTGGAAAATAGGAAGCCTTTATATAATTTCTTGAGTGAGAAACTGATGTAGTGAGAGCAATAATTTAGGGATTCATTCTATAAGCAGTTTGTAAAACGGATTGAAGTTGGGAAAAAGTTGAGACGGGGGAATCAGCAAAGAGGCAATAACCGACATGCGAACCAAAAGTCTCAATTCTAAAACCCTAAAATGAAATTTACGGCAAAGGTTTCAAGCCATGTTATTCTTAGTGCCACTTACAACCTGGTTTAGGCATCTGGGGACAAGCAAAGCTAATTGCAGAGATGGGCGTGCCAGGCGACCGTGGCAGATTCCGCTAGGTATTTGAGTCATAGAACTGCTGTGGGTCCCCTTGTTCCAAGTCCAGCTCTCCTGGCGTCTTGGCAGGACTGTGTCTTGTCACCTCTGCTTGTCCTGCAGCGTGCTTGTTTGATAGTCAGACTTGAGAAAAATGCTTCATTTTTTTTACTTTTAACCCATCCTAATGAGTTTTTTTTAAACTTCTTACTTGGAAATGATTTCAAACTTACAAAAAGAGCCTCAAGAATAAGAATATTATGCAGAACACCACAGACCCTTGCTCATCTGTCATTAAATGTTTCTTTCTCTTTCTCTGTGTGTGTATACATATGTGACTGTGTGTATATGACACATATATGACTACATATACATGTACGCACATCTAATATTTTGAACTATTTGAGAATAGTTTGTACACGGCATGGTCCTTTAGTACTAATGACTTCATTATGTATTTCCTAAGAATTAAAATAACGTTTTATAAACTTTGGTGCATTTACTCAGTCACTGTTTCTTGAACTGAGCTCACCTAGGGAAATACCCATTATTCCGGTCTGACTTTCCCACTGCTAACTCAGTCACAGGAGTGAGAAATCCAAAGCTGCATGTGAATTACAGGCTTGGGTCTTTGAGGGTACCATAGAATCAGGTATTTCAGATTCGTTTCCAATGTGATTCATCATGTGTTTGTTTGACTCAGTTGTTCAGCTACTCTGATAAAACACCTTTGTCAAAGAATACTACTGATACCCAAAATGGCAAACGCAAATCTAGCATTCATAACTATGTCTCAGGCACTGTTCTAAGCACTTTACACTTATTAATGCATTTAACCCTCACAATAACCTTAAAGGAACATACCGTGATTACATTCATTTTATACATGGGGAAATGTAGGCACAGAAGGTAAATAACATGCCCACAAGTAAATAGCTAAGGGGGTAAAATCAGGATTTGAACCTAAGCTTTCAGATATCTTTCTCCTCTGTTAATGTGTGTGTGTGTATTTAGTCTTCTTACATTTCACAGTGTCTTCTCTAAAGAGGATCCCACGCTATTTTCTGTTGTTGATTGCTTCTCACTGTGTCGTGTTCCCCTAGGAGAGACGCATTCATTTTCTTGATGTGTTTATTTTCCAGCTGAAGAAAAGGTGACCAGTCCCAGGAGCCGAGAAGAATGAACTCAGAGGAGGCTGTTTATACAAGGTTCTCCCACTCACCAGCTGTTGAGAGTCTGTGGATGAAGACCAGGATCTTATTACTGCAGTGAAGCAATGGGAGCCTGCGACCATGCTCCCAAACCACAAACAGCCAAGCGGATTTGGCACAGGGGGAGCTGCCTCATAAATAATTAATCAGAGGCATTGGATACCAATCTGTCTTGCAGCAGCCTCTTCAAATTCAGTGTTGCCTTCTTATCTGGCCTTGGGTGTATCAAAGCGCTCCCTTCTGCTTCTCACTCCAGCGCCAGGACCCGCCTGAAGGCTGGATCCACAACGGAATTCTCTTCGGTCTGTGTCTGCCCTGTTTGAATGCTATTTATAGGGCCAATGTGGGTTAATAACTGTTTATTCAGTGCCTGTTCCATGCCAATTATTAGGCTGAGTGCTTTACAAATATCTGATCCTTCCAAAAATTCTGTAAAGTTGCCCCTATTGTCTGCCTTTTACCCCAGAGCAAATGGAGGCTCAGAGAGGTTGTGTGCTATGTCTAAGATCACACAGTAGGCAGAGTCAGGGCTCAAACTTAGGTCTAAAATCAAAGCCCTTGCACGTTAACACTCTGCTTTGCCTATCACTGTTCCAGAGATAACTAGCCCGTTGTATTATTACTAGTCTTCCTCTCCTAAATGGAGGTGGGGATGGGGGGGTATGGCAAGTGTCTGAGAGGGCGGATCAAGGAGGCTTTACAGGTATCAAGGAATCGCAGAATTATTTCCTAAGAAAAATAACACAATGTTCTTTTAGATCACAGGTTGATTAACTATGACCTGCGAGTCAAATCCAGCCCCAAATCTATTTCTGTAGATAAAGTTTTATGGGGACACAGCCACACCCAATCCTGTATGTTCTGTCTATGACTGCTTTTTCTCTCCTCTGGTGGCAGTTGCATAGTGTGTCAGAGACCATATGGCCTGCAAAGCCTGAAATATTGACGATATGGGCCTTTCCAGAAAAAGGCTTGTTTTAGATGACTTAGGAAGGAAGCCAACAGTTTTCATTAAGGCCAATTTATTATTTTCCCATTTAACTGAAGAACTACTTAAAGATTTATAAAGCTAATATAATCACTGTATTCTAATGGTGGTGGGCGGTGGGTGGTGGAGTGGGGGGTGAGAGAAGGGGCTGTAGAGAATCTAACCAGGGAAGGTTAAGGGACAGGGAGTGGAAGGGAGAGGTCTGGGCCTCTGGGTCCCAGCCAACTCCTCACCCCAGGCTCATCCCACTCATTCTTTCTCTTCCTCCTGCCAAGTCAAGTTTCCTAAAATAACTCTTTGCTCGTAAACTTGTAAGTGGCTTCCCACTTACCACATGCTCAAATCCCAAGCCCAGCCTGGAATTTAGAGACCATAACAATCTGACCCCTGCTAATCTCTCCCTTAACCCCCACTTTATCTTTTTTTTTAACTTATCATAAGAAAGTCATGCCAAATTTGAGCTTGTATTTCAAAGCCAATGTACTTGTCTTTGATTCTTTTTTATGTAAGCAGAAAAGTAAACGTGTAACATTTGTAGGCGGTGTATTTGACAGTAGGAAACCAGGCCCAACTCTCATGGATGAGGCCACTTCGCCTAAGGTAAAAGCTATAAACAAAAGAGAAATGTATGAATGTATTACTTTTCTACCGTAGACATTATCCAATTGTATTTAGAAAAAAAAAAAAACATTCTAAGGTTTTATGTTTAAATTGTAATACCATAAGCTTTCTCCCGCATTGCATGTATTTTTCATAAAGATCATTTTTCCTGGATGCAGAGTATTCCATCTTTTACATGTCCCAAAGTTATCCTAATACTTCCCTGGTATCTGGGCTTTGAAGGCTGCTATTTCCATTAGTTTCTTCTCCATTCCCTGGAGTTGTTCTCATTGTTTCCTACCTTTGCTCAGTCCCTATGGCCCTTTATCTCCCTAGTCTCAACTGCCCAGTCTCAATCTGGCCCATCCCATTTTCAGAGTACATGCAGAGGGAGAGGGGCTGCTGAGTAACGTTCTCACTAGGAACACTGAGCCTGTTCCTCTGCGTTATGGAGGGGCCGGAGGAGAGTGTCAGGCAGATAAATTTGCTTTGTCCATGTCATTCTCTGACCAAGAGGCATTTCCAGAGCCAAGGCAGATGTGATAGACCTGCGTCTTCCAGAACTTGTTCATCTCAACGTCTCCAGTGCCAGCATAAAGCAGGCCATGGTATATGGAGAATGTATTGGAGCATAGTAACATTGCTATGGCTACAGTTTTTAGTTAACTGCCACTCTCATGCCTTCTTCCAGGAAGGAGTGGGGCCTCTTGCAATGGATTATATGCAGGTGGGGTTGGGGAGAAGAGATTCTGAGTGCATTCCAGAGTTGAGTACAATTGCAAAACTGAGTCAGAAATGGGATGAATAGTTATTGGCCTCTAGTTTGCAAAATGATAGAACTTCAGGGTTCAGAAAGATATTTAAGGTTATCGTTGCCAGCTACCCTCCAGTGCCTGATTCCCCTAGGACAGCTCTTCCAAGCAAATGCCCAGCGCTGCTTGGATACCTCCACTGATGGGGACCTTGCTACCAAACAAAATCCAGTACTGTATGGCTCTGTTAGAAAGCTGGACTTTTGTTGAGAGGAAATCTATCTTCCTGTAGCTTCCATCAGTTAGGTCTAATTCTACCTGTGGGATGCTAGAGAACAAGTCAGCTCCCTCCCACAACAGCCCTGGAGAGATTTAGAGTAAATGATCATGTCCTCCCTGATCATGTTCCTCTCCAGGCTAAATACTCACAGATACTTGAATTGTGTCTCTTATCACATGGTTTCCAGACCCTTTGCCAAGTTTGTATACACTGACTGCTTCCTACTTTGCTTAGAGTTCTCCAAGTATGGAGCTAGACCACCACACAGAAGGCCAGCTCATATCAGAGCAGAACCATCCTTCCTCTAATATGGAACTTAAATGTCTATTATAAGTTCCTAGGATCAGAAATTAGTATTCTGAGTTCCAAGAGGTTCCAGGGCTTTTTAGTGAGTTTGTTTTTAATTGGAAGGGGGCAGGAAAAAAATAGCTAGGTTTCTATGGTTGGGAAGAGAAAGCAGCTATCTATTTTTAAACCCTTATTATATGCCAGACACTGTGCTAAACATGTAACATGGATTATCTCATTTAATCCACTCAGCACCCCTTATAAATACTACTGTCACCTATTTCACAGCTGAAAAAACTGAGGCTTAGAGAAGCTCAGTGTTTTCCCAGGCTAGGGGGTGCATGCTGACTCAGGCCAGATATTAACAGGAAGCAACAGGTGTAGATTTGGGGCTTCAACAAAGAGTAGCATCAGGGCAGTGTTGTGCTTCAGCCAGGTATAACATTGCAAAGGGGGAGTTAGGGGTGAGAACAGGACTTCTAAGACCCCAAAGACAAAGAGGGAGAAAGCCAAGCCAGAGTGGCACGGAAGGACTCCATGTGCAGGGGAGTAATTAATAGTAACAGCTGCCATTTGTTAAATGCCTAGGAAACCAGGCGTTTTGCGTACATAACCTCCTTTAATCCTCACAACAGCACTAACTGGGAATTACTATTATGATCGCTATGTTACAGATGAGGAAATTGAGGCTTATCGAGGATAAATGACTCACTGAAGGCCACACAGCTGGTAAGCAGCAGTGTCAACATTGACACTCAGATCGATGACTCCAGGCCCATGGTCCCTATGCTGACTCCCCAAGGGGAAGACTGTTGGCAACATTTAAGGGAAGGAACGTTCTCTCTCAAGAGATGTGGGGATCCCAGGGCAATGTCTGGCAGGTGAGGACAGGGAACCTGGTTCTGGGTGAGACGATTTTGCCAGACTCTATATCTTGCTGTGCCAACCCTGAGGCTATCCTAACTTACCTCAGACTCAGAAACCCAAGAGGCGAAATGTCATCTGTGTTTATGCCTCGTAGTTCCTTTTCTAAAAAATTTAAACAATGTGCTTTCTCTTAGTTCAATGGTTCTCGAACTGGAGGACTTCTTAAAACAGATTACCCCACTCCCAGAGTTTCTGATTTAGTCGGTCTGGGGACGAAGCCTGAGAGTTTGCACTTCTACCAAATTACCAGGTGGTGCTGATGCAGCTGGTTTTAGGATTACATCGGAGAACAAAGGTGTTAGTCTATTAGTAAAGCTACTTGTGAAATTTTCTAAACTGACTTGCCGGTGAAATGGTTAAGTGCAGAAAAGGAAAAGGACTTGCCCATAAGCCAGAAGCAGCTAGAGTGGGTTGGGGGTGCAGACTTAGTGGCCAGCTATGCCCACGAGAGCCTGGATGGGCCAGGGAAGAGAAGTCACAGCCAGAAGGGAGGGACTAGCTATTCCTGGGTGGAAATGAGGGGAAGCAGAAGGCCAGGCTGAGCTGGGCAGGGGAGCCAGACAGGCTACAGAGACAGAGAGCTGGCAAGGGCAGAAGTCAAATGGGGGTAGAGCTCTTGTCAAAAGCTGCAGGCTCCTGACTGGGCAGCAGGGAAAGATCAGGGGAGGGAGAACACAAGCAGCCAGGAGTGAGCTCCTGGGATTGTGGCCTGTGACAGAATCTGATGATCACATTTCAGCCCCGGCTCACTGTCTCCAAAGCTTCTCTCTGCCTCTTTCTGCCCATTAGTCATAAAGTGCTCAGGAGTTGCCCTCTGACAGTAGTGAGGTGAAGTTCTTGCAGCAAGAGAACTGAAGACAGCACTAAACGCTGCTTCTTCCCCTTAGTGGTGGTCAGACAGTGGCAGGCAGGGCCAAAGCTGGGGTTGTTTGACCTCTGATGTTCTCCAATCCCTAGGCTGCATTTCTCCCTCACGGGAAGCTGACTCGGCTGCTGTGTTTGCGCGGTGCAGAGCGCGGCCTTGGGCCTTTGTGGCGACACCAGTGGGCTCGAGGCTGGGTGCCTGGCTGTTCTCCCTACTCCTGGAACTGGGACGGCCTGAATAGGAGTCTCCTTTCCTTTGATTATGCCTTTCAGCTATAGGAACAAAATTGTGTTCATAGGCTCTTCCTGGACCCCGGCCTTCAAGCACTGCCCACCTAGCCGGAGCCAGGTTCCTCTTTTCCCTTTTCTACCTTTTATCCCATTTCCTGTACATGTCTGTTCAGTTCAAAAAGGATTTGTTGAGTGCATACTAGATGTCAGGCCCTGTGTTGTGGATACAGTAAAAAAAAAAATTTTTAAATCTCCACTGCCTGTCCTAGCTTGGTTTGGCTCTGTGGTTAGAGTGTCAGCTTGCAGACTGAAGGGTTGCGGGTTCGATTTCAGCGAAGGGGCACCTACCTTGGGTGCAGGTGTGCAGGGAGGCAGCCAATCTATGTGTCTCTCTCACACGGATGTTTCTCTCTCTCCTGCCCATTCTCTCTGAAAAGCAATGGAAAAAATATCCTCCGGTGAGAATTAAAAAATAAATTAAAAATTCAGTTGTCAAGGAAATCATATAGTCAGGGAGACCCCTGCATAGAGATAATTACAGCCCTGTAGGATGAATGCTGCTTCTTTCTTTTTAAAAATATGTTTGTATTGATTTTAGAGAGGAAGGGAGAGGGGGAGAGAGAGGGAGAGAGAGACATCAGTGTGATCCATTGGCTGCCTGCCTCCAGCGCACACCCCAAATGGGGATGGAGCCTGCAACCTGGGCACCGGCACTGACCAGGCATTGAACCAGAGACCTTCCAGTGCACAGGGTATGACGCTCAACCAACTGGGCCACGCCGGCCAGGGCTGAGTGCTGTTCCTTAGACGTAAAGCTCATGCCCTCTTAGGGCCTTTGTATTTGCTGTCCTTCTGTCTAGAATGCTCTTCTCTAGATCTCTCTCTGGGTCATTCTCGAGCTTCACTCAGGTCACTCCCGAGAGAGGCCTTCCCTGATTTTCCCATGGAAAACGGAGCCCTCACAATTCTCTGGGTCCATTTCACCCCATATAATTTTTCCTACAGCACCTCTAGCCACCTCACATTATCTATTTAAATCGGGGGCGGCGGGGAAGGGCCAGCCTCCCACACTGGACTGTAAGCTCTAGAGGGGAGGCCTCAGGGCCTTGACACTGCCAAATTCTCAGTTCATAGGACTGGTACCTAACAGGCACTCCGTATGTATTTCCTTTCTGTTCTTTCGCCCTGAGTGGTGGCCAGTTGAACTTTTCCGAGCCTGTCGGGGTCATCGGGCGGGGGGCGGCGGCCTGCCTTTTGGGGACGCACATGCTCCTCCTGCCTTCCCAAGCTCTCTACAGCGGGCACGGTGCCCTCCGTCCCGCCAGCGCCCACCAAGAGCTAGCATTTGCAGAGCGCTAACTGCGCGCGGGGCCCTTCACATACGCTCTTCAGTCCTCACAATGCTCTGCAAAGTCAGCACTTTCTCTCCGTTTACCGGAGATGAAACAGGCTCAGGGACAGAGACCTGCTCAAAAACCACAGACAGCAAGGTGCC